AACCGTGTTTTGGCATGTTTCAGGGTCTTCAAACGGTCGTCTTCAACGAGGCAGTTCCCTCAATGGAAATGAACAGTTGAAGGGCCTATGAAGGGGGATCTTGGAGGGAGGGCTAATTCCAACATCGCTGATGACTCTTGGGCTTACACTGGTCCTCCTCCTTCTCCTCCTCCCGTTCCTCCTCATCTTCCCTTTCCCTCCTCCTCCTCCTCCTCCTCCTCTTCCTCCTCCTCTTCTTCTTCCTCCTCCTCCTCCTCTTCCTCCTCTTCCTCCACCTCCTCCTCCTCCTCCTCCTACTCATCCTTCTCTTCCTTCTCCGCCCTCCTTCTCCTCCTCCTCCTCCTCCTCCTCCTCCTCTTCCCCCTCGTCCTCCTCATCATCAGCAGCATCATCATCTGCATAATCATCATCATCATCATCATCATCATCATCATCATCAGCAGCATCAGCATCATCATCATCATCACCATCATCAGCAGCATCATCATCATTATCGTCGTCCTTCTCCTCATCATCCTCTTTCTGCCTCCTCTCCTCATCGTCCTCCTCTTCCACCTCTGCCTCCTCCTCCTCCTGACTCCTGCTCCTCCTCCTCCTCCTTCTCGTCGTCCTCCTCCTCCTCCTCCTCCTCCTCCTCCTCCTCCTCCTCTTCCCTCTATCTCCTCCTCCTCCTCTTCAGAGGGAGTCGAACCCCTGCGTGGGAACAACAAGTTCTTCTTCGAAGCGCGCCCCACCCTCCGGTGTCCGTTTCTCTCTCCCCTGGCGCTGTTCCCCCATGGGAAGCGAAGCCCTCCCTCGTCCTCATCCCTCTCCTCATTCTGTGGGTCGTGGACCAGAGCTTCGAACGGAGTTCAGCCCTGGTGGCAAGCAGCTCCCCGAAGGCCCCAAAAAGTAGGCGATAGACGGAAGTAAAAACACACCACCAATAACAACAGCAACCATCTTGCGAACATGTGATCCCAGAAGCAGTTGTGACCTTCATTTGTTTATCCCCCTCCCTCCTACCTGCCCGCTCAGTCTATGAACCAACCCCTTTGGGGGGCTTCTTTTCATACCAGCTCCTGGGAGAAGCATTCAGCAGTGCATTCTGTATACGAACCGCGCCGCCATGGCAGTAATGCAAGCGAACCCGCCCGCGGGCAACTCACATTGTTGATTGAATGGCGACGACTGTTTCTGAGTTTGGGAGCTTGTCTGGCCAAGGCGTCTCGAAATAAGTTGACATGAAGTATCGAGCAGGAGCTGTTGTCGTCGTAGCTGAGCCGTTACCGACTTGATTGAAGAGCGTGGACGTCACGAGCGAGAGTTCCGTTCCTGTATTTCCGGACCTCTATGGCCAGGGCGTCCTGGAGAAAATTGTTCGGAAGCACCAGGTAAGATCCGTTGTCGTCGCAGCTGGGCCGTTACCAACCTGACAAAATTGCGAGGAAGTCTCGGGCGAGAACGCCGTTCCTGAGTTCGGGGCCTCTCTGGCCAAGGCGTGTCGGAGTAAATTGTGGAAGTGTCGGGTGGGAGCTGGGGCACGGATTTGGACCCAATCCCGCGCTCGAGTGGGAGCGTCGTTTTCAAAGAATACAGCCGGCGTCGAGGCGAGAGCGCCCAGAACCACGCTTCGCTTATCCCCATCAGCCGATTCATAAACTTTGCCCATGAGAGTTGACGGGACAAGGGACGAAAAGACACATGTAGTGAAACAAAGCGGGCAACCAGGGAGAACAGAGAGATCTTTGGGAGCAAGGGTGTTGCCTTGGAGGGCCACTTTGGGCCATCCCTGAGGACCGCGTGGGGGCGAGGAAAGATGGAGGAGGAGGAGGAGGAGGAGGATAAGGAGGAGGCAGACGACGACGACGACCAAGACCAAGACCAAGACCAAGACCAAGACCAAGACCAAGACGACCACGACGACGAGGAAGAGGAGGAAGAGAATAAGGAAGACGATGAGAGCAAAGGCGAGGACGAGGAGGAGGAGGAGGACAGCGAGGACGAGGACAGAGCCCTCAGAATTCCTCTTGGAGCCCTCTTGGGACTCTTTTGGGGGAGCTGGGGCTCATTTGGGGGGTCTTGAGGCCCTCTTGGGGACCTATTGGAGCCCTCTTGGAGGTTCCTGGGGAGCCATGGATGGCCTCAAGGGGCCATCTTGGAGGCCATCGACCAAAGGCGGGGAGGAGGTCCCGATGTTAGTCCCCCCCTGGGGCCATCAAAGCGCCTCTTGGGGCCCTCTTGGAGCGCTCTTGGGCGCTCTTGCGGCCGTTTGGGTTGGAGCCATCTTGGACGAAAAAGGACTCCTGCCACCTGGCGAAGCCCCTCAAAAACTCAATTGGGCGAAGGGGGAGGCTCCCCTACCCCTCCCCGAAGGCAGGGGATTATGGAAGAGAAAAGAACGAACTCGCTAGACCACCTTAGCCCAAAGGGGCGGAAGGGTTTATTATATTTCGAAGCGAGTACTTAATCTACACACAACGCAGACGCACAGACACACACACACACTCTCTCTCTCTCTCTCCCACACTCCCACACTCCCATGCAACAAACACAACAAGCACAACAAGCACACACACACGCACACACACACACACACACACACACACACACACACACGCGCGCGCGCGCGCACACGGACATACACAGACACACAGACACACAGACACACACACACACACACACACACACACACACACACACACACACACACGCACACACGCCAACACTCACAACAATAACGGCTAACACGCAAAGCCGATCAACGTCAATGACAAGAAACCCACATACACAATCAATAAAAGCAACAACAAACACACATGTCGATAACGCAAACACGTGAAACACGTGCTATAAATATTCATATACTTCTATATGTGTATATATATATATATAGATTGGCACCGCGGGCCCGCGCGCAGCGACGAGGCGAAGAAAGTCAAGCCGAGAGAGAGAAAGAGATAAATACAGAGAGCACGAACGGCCGACCCCTCAGAAGGTGGGGCAGGGATCCAGTCATGGATCAACCGTGCTATCCGCAAACCCGGGCGTGGGCAGCGAACACACACACACACACACATTTGTTTTGCGTCGGTGGTTGGGCAGAGTGACTGCGCCGGCGGAAGAGCAGAACTATGACATACAAACGCGAATCAAGCCGCAATGCACGGGCCATACACACACACACACACACACTTTTAGCATCGCGGCCACGCACGCGTGATACGCGGCAGAGTTAGGCCATCGGGAGTAATTGCGGTGAGTGCGTCGGCCTGGCCAGCTCACAGCGCCAGCAGGGCGCACAGGCTTTCCACCCACAGAGAAGCGCGCTGCACGAACTCCCGGGGCGGGCAGCCGCGAGAGGGGGACGACGAGGGGGCCGACGGGAGCAGCGGAGGGGGGGAAAAGGAAGGTCCAGACACACACACACACACACACACACAAACACACACACACAAACACACAAACACACAAACACAAACACACAATGGAAATACACAGCAACCAAAAATAAGAAGCAAACAAGCACCAAGCACGAGCATGCACAGCATCAGAAGACACAGAGCCACAGGCAAACAAGAACGCACGAACCAGCACAAGCGAGCAGAAGTCAACGAACGAGCCGAGAAACACCGAGCGGCAGCAGGAGCGCGTCGACGAGATGCGCTCGAAGCGCGAGGCGGAGCTCAAGGATCGGGTGCTGCTAGAAGTGCCCCTGGCCCAAGGTGCCCCCAGGACTTCCAGGAAGGCCCCCACGGCCTCCAGAGCACCCCTCACGAGGCCCGGGGGGGCCCCGGGGGCTCCAGCACTGGGCGAAGACCTGGGGGCACTTTGGGTCCAGGGGGTACCTTTCGCAACCCCCACGAGGAGCTCAAGGCCGCCCACGCCGAGGAGCTCCGCCGGGCGGCCGAGGAGCACCAGGCCCCCCCTCCCCGGCCGCGGGCACCCCCGCTCCGGCAGCGTTGGCCAGGCCCAGGCGCCGGAGCGCGCCAGGGCTCCGCCCCCCAGGGGGCCCTCTTCTCTCCTCCTCCTCCTCCTCTTTTCCTCCTCCTTCCTCCTCCTCCTCCTCCTCCTCCCTCCTCCTCCTCCTCCTCCTCCTCCTTTCCTCCGCCTCCCCTCCGCTCCTCCTCCTCTCGCCTCCTCCTCCTCCTCCTCCTCCTCATCCTTCATCTCATCCTCATCCTCCTCCTCTCAGTCCTCCTCTCCTCCTCCTCTTCCTCCTCCTCCTCCTCCTCCTCCTCCTCCTCCTCCTCCTCCTCCTCCTCCTCCTCGTCTCTCCTCCTCCTCCTCCTCCTCCTCCTCCTCCCTCCTCCTCTCCTCCTCCTCCTCCTCCTCCTCCTCCTCCTCCTCCTCCTCCTCCTCCTCCTCCTCCTCCTCCTCCTCCTCCTCGTCCAGGCGGGGAGGGGGGGGGCCTGGGCGACTGTCTCGGCCCCGAGGTTCAATCTAGGCCTCCAGATAGGGTCCGAGCAGATGGGATCGGAGGATCGCCCCGCATCGCCGACGCATCGGCGATGCGGCTCGATGTGGAGCACGACGTTCTTCACGTCGACGTCGCCGATGCATCGCCGACGTTGCTGATGAATCGCCGATGTATCGGCGATGCGGCGCGATCCTCCGACCCCAGCTACTCGGACCCCATCCAGGAGGCTTCTATTCAATGTTCCTGGGCATTTTCGACTGTTCTGGGCGGTTTTCGGGCCTCGGGGTACGTTCCAGCAGCTGCGCCTCGCCGTGAGCGTTCCTGGGGTGCCCAGATTGTCCCGAACGGCCGCCAGAGACCCGAACTATGACCCGAAGAGCTCAGTGGGGGGGCGCATCAACCCCCAATCGCCCATTGATCGCCGATAGGGGGGCCCGACGCCCTAACCCGCCCAGGAGCATGCGGATTCGCGATCGGGGGTCTATCGCCGATCTATCGGTGACTTGACATCCTCACGTCGCGAATAATCACGGCGGACGGTTTTTGGTCAGCTTTCGGCCTCGGGGGGGCCTTACGGGGCCCTGGGGCCGTCAGAAGACGATACGATCGGGGCTCAAGAGACGAAGGTCAATGCAAACGGGACTCGGTCAGAGCGCCGGATTTTGCAGGACCTTGCATAGCCAAGGTTGCATCGACCAGTGTTTGGGTGGAGGATCCTGCAAGATCCTGCAGGATCTTGCAGGATCCTGCACAGCCTGACTGACCCCGGTCTGGATCGACCTGGGTCAGCAGATCCCCGATACGGAGTGAAGAGCAGTTCCCCAGGAAGGGGTCCAGACTTTTGGGGAGCCACGCTGTGGAAATAGCACGACGTCGAATGATGTCTGGGAGGCGGAGGAAGGGGAGGCATGCCATGCTGGCCTCGAGGAGGAGGGAGGACAAGGAAAGGACGAGGACGAGGAAGAGGAGGAGGAAGAGGAAGAGGACTGGAGAGGAGGAGGAGGAGGAGGAGGAGGAGGAGGAGGAGGAGGAGGAGCGGGAGGACGAGGAGGAGGAGGAGGAGCAGGACAAGGACGAGGACGAGGAGGAGGAGGTGGAGGAGGAGGAGGAGCAGCAGAAGAAGAAGAAGCAGGAGGAGGAGGAGGAGGTGGAGGAAGAGGCGGCCCAGGACTGGAGATGAGGAGGGTGGCGAGGAGGACGAGGGAGGGATAGTTAGGTTCGGTGCGGTCCTCCTGGAAGCCACGCGAATCACAGCTCACAGCTGTCGGGCGAGCGCCGCCCTCATGGGAAGCCGCAGCCGAGGTGAGCGCCAGAGGTGAAAATCTGCTGCAAGAAGCTGCACGAAATGTGCGGCCGCATGGAGGCCAGGAGATCCAGGCGGACCGAGGTACAAGATCGAGGCAGGTGGGGGG